GGATTACATATTTTTCCATCAAAGTAGAGGCCTGGACCACATTTCTATAACAGTGAAGACAACAAACATTTAAAAGAGTTAATGCAATCTTTCTCAAAGTAGTCCAAAAAAGTGAAGAGGAGAAAAACTAATAACTAATAATCTAATAACTTCCAAAATAATTTTATGAAGCCAGCATCACTCAGATACCAAAGGCAATAGTACAAGAAAAGAAAATGACAGGTTAATATCCCTGATGAATACAGATAACAAAATCCTTAACAAAATTAAAGCAAACAAAACTCAATACACATTAGCAATATCATGCATCATGACCAAGTGAGATTTATTCCTAGAGTGAAAAAACATTCAACATAGAGAAATCAATAAATGTGATACACCATACTAAGAGGATAAAGGACAAAACCCACACAATCATTTTAATGAACTCAAAAAAAATCTTTTGACAAAGTTTAACAGTTTTAATAATTAGCACCTAGATATAGAAGACATACCTCAGCATAATGAAAACTATATATGACATATACATAAGAAACATCGGATTCTAAGATCGGGAACAAGACAAAGATGCAGACTCATCACTCCTGTTCATTTCTATTATTTCTTTGTTCTATATTCTCTGGAACTTGACCTTATTTAGTAGCAGCATATCTTAATTTATTAATACTTATATGAAGCCTTACGGAATATAGAAATAATATCCTGGGGGCGTAAAGAATAGGCTATAGATGCCAAATCAAAATCAAAATGGCCATTGAAAATGCAATAATTTTCTCTCCTTTTGCTTCCAACCCCCTTCTTTCACTCCTCTCTAACTTTGTTACTTTACTAATTTCTGTGATCCCCATCAAATAGTCTCTCTTTCCTCCCAAAATCCCCAATTTTGGGACTAGGTTATTCAGCCTCATGATTTATGGCCTTCAAAAGCTGCCTCACTAGGTTTATTATTTAAATTATTTTATTTGCACCTTAAAATGTTTGTCAGAGAAGTAGCACTATGGCCATTTTCTTATGAGGAAAAGTGAGAACTCTCCAAGTGTCAAGAAAGTTGCTCAAAGTTACTTAATTAAGACAAAGAACATGAGTTAAATTCATTGTGTTTATATCATGCCAACTTGCTAAGGTTGGATTTACTTCAGTGATGTCTTTATTGAAATGGTTAAATATCTTTTGATATTTAAATATTTAAGCATTTTGAAATGGTACAAAATAAATCACATGAAAAAATTCAAAAACAAAATGGTCATGCAGCAAAAGGTTAGACTCATCATAATCTTATCCCTTGGGCCCTTATCATACTTCCTAAGATAACCACAGCTACGCTTACTAAATATAGCATATCAACATACAGATCATAATTCTTAGTGATTTAATTTGCAAATAATGTTTCAAGTACTCATATGTGAAAAATGAATCATTTTTCTGTTAGTTATTTTCTGTTTATATGAAGAAATAATGATCCCTCTTTGGAAAGCCAGCAACCTCATTGAGCACCCTTTTCTTATGAAACCCTGATCCACCTTCAGTTTATAAATTATAAATGATAATTCAAAAAATTTACTTGTTAAACAACTTTAGAACCCACTAGAAATTTCTGAGACAAAGAAAACAAGCCTAAAGCTTGTTGATAGAACTATTCTAAATCACATGCTCCCTAGATAATTCCTTGCTTCAGCAGGTGCCAATTCTAGGATTTCAACATGAAAAGGGAGGTTGTGAAAGTACCTTATGCTGTTCCTTCTGGCATCCCTGAGAGATGTCAATTTCTTAATGGTCATCTAGGTGACTAAACTGTGGAATCTCAGAGTGAGGGGAGGAACACCCACCTCATGTTCTTTTCTGAGATGTTGAGAGTCTGTAACAGGACTCAACTCAAAAAGAAGTTCCTGCCTCTCTCTTCAAAGTCCCAGGTCAGTCCACTGAATATTTTTTAACTACCATACCAGTCTGATCAAGTTTGAAACATTGCAGAGGCTGCACAGCATTCTTCTGGGTAATGAACATGAGGCGTGAAGTTTTCCCAAAGCCATTGTTGGGGTCTTCTCATGGGAGCAGGTACAGACCCTGAAGGTGCTATGAGATTCACTCTTTTTCATATGCAGGGACATCAGTCAGAAGAAAAAGGATAGCAGGACATGGACTTACTCTAAAAAGTTCCAATCTTTAGGGCTTTTATCCCCCCTTTTTTATTATTGCTGCATTGGGGGCACATAGTGACATTTAACAAAGTTCTTACAATATATCATAGTTGAATTCGCCCCTCCATCATTCTCCTGTGTTATCCCTTCCCCCATCCCCAGAAGAGTTTTAACAGGTCTCATTTTCTCATCTTCACATATGGAGTGCACACTATTTCCACCATATTCAACCTCCTACACCCTTTCCTTATCCTCCCTCCTCCTACTAGTGCCAACCTCCAGACAGGACCTATTTTACCTTCCTGTTCTCTAATTTTGAAAAAAAGATGTTTTTATTTGTTTAAGATAGCTGTACAGGGAGTTTCATTGTGACATTTCCATGTCCGTATGGATTATAACCTGAATTGGTTCATCCTCTCTATTTTTTCCTTTCTGCATTAGTGCCCTTCTTATGGTGATTTCAAAAGGTTTAAAAATTCTATATCATTCTTGTATAGAAGTACATCAACCATATTCACCTTCTTAATTTCCTTCTTTTATTATCTCTCTTTTATTAGTGATCTCCCCTTAGTGTGAATTTTTTTTCATAACATTACTTATATTTGTATTGGGACTATTTTTCACATATGAGAGAAAACATGCCACTTTTGGCTTTCAGAACTTGGATAACTTCACTTAACATGATGTTCTCCAGTTCCATCTATTTACCTGCAAAGGACAGATTTCATCCTTCTTTATGGCTGAATAAAATTCCATTGTGTATAAATACCACATTTTTTTTTACGCCCTTTTTGTGACATGTCTGAAATCATTGTTTAGCTTTGGTAACTTAGTAGTTCTTAATTTTTCTACCTTTTTGAGCTCACATTTCTTAAAGACTACTGTGGTTGTATATTATAGTAGGCACAGGTTTTTGTAGTAAACTTTTGAGGTAGGAATAGTTTTGATTTTTAATTTGCATTTGTGTAAACTAATCTTCAGGGAGGCCAAGAAATATTTAATTTCACACAGTAATGGTCCCAGAATATTTCTGTGTGTCCCATAAAGGAATATTAGCTAAAATGTTACTCAGGTTTGATAAGTTATACTAAAATTATCAGTGAGTACTGTGCCAACCAGTTTGATTTATTTTCATAGAATATACATGAAAAAAATAGTGGTATAAATAACTTGCAGAACCCTCACTCCTTAAATTGCAAGCAGGTTCCGGAATCCTTAAATATCTCAAAAAAGAGAAGCTGTTAAGGAGTCAGATGAACCACCTCATATAGGAGAAACAAGCACACAACATTTAAGAAGTGTGAGTGGGAAAGTGTCTAAGTAGATGAGGTCGAGAGTTTGAGCCATTTTGAAGAAAATGTGCATTTGGGTATCTCATAGAGCACAGGTCACTGATGGTTACAAGAGTCACAGAGACAAGCTCAATGGAAAATGTGCAAATGTGGAACTTTAGGGAGTGAACTCTGATAACCTAGAAAACTGAGGGGTAGATGTTGCCATGTTCAATGGACCATGTGGAAACCCACAAAGGGTGGGACTATCAGCAATCAGGAAAATGAGATATGATGTTTTGGACTTGTTCAAGTCAGTGAATTGTCAAGAAAAGTTGTAAGAGTAGTGGCCTTGGTAAAGGGTAAGTTAGTTATAAAGAAAAGGTGGTAAAGATATGGCTAGGCCTCTGCATTACCATCATTAAAGAGAACAAAATTGGATCCTGGGCAGCTGAAATCGAATGGGGTAGTGGTGTTACATAAAGGATCTTTGGGAATCAGTGTTAAAGGGTAAAGCACCATTCCTGATTATAGAAAAGCATCACTGTTGTCAGAGAATTTGTCATATTTTCCAGTGGTCACCTGACACTGGCATGGGAAACCTGAGACAAGGTCACAAGTGAATCATTGTGCACTTGATTATGCACAAGGAAGTTTCGTGACATCAACATGAGTGTGGCAAGTCACTTTGGGATTGCGCGGAGATGGTATTTTTGGTTGGGAAATAAACACATCACCCCAGTCCTGGGCTGTTCCTGCCATGTTGGGACACCTGGCCTTTATAAAGGGACTCTCTATCGCCCTGATGCTACCGCTTGCAACTCCGTTGTAGATCCTCTTTGGAGACTCTGGTGAGTACAAACCGCAGAAGCCTTTCTTGATACTTGCATGATTTAGACTGTAACCCAGAGGAGTACGATCATTTTTTTAACAAGTTAATGCTGATAGGTGAGGGAAAGAACATTATTAGGTTTGGGGGGCAATTTTAGCTATATTTGGTAGGTGACTTTGAATGTGGTGAAGGAAATGGAGTCAAAGGTACAATGTCAAATGAAGGAATTTGAAATGGCTCCACATCCATTCAATACACCTCCCTCAGAGTGCCATCTCCCTGAGTGATGGGCCTTCATAGTGCTCCTGTATGACCCATGGTCAGCTCAGTGAAATAGGGAACCAGCTCAGCACTATAAGTAAGCTCAATTAAAGGGATAGCCATGGCTTCCTGATTTAACTGGATATTTGTGTCATGCTTGTCTAGAATTTCATATCTGGAGCTTTCTTCCCTCCAAAGTATTTGTTGTCAGAAAATATCTGTTGCCGCTTTGTGCAAATTTTATCTTTACAAACTGGTAGAATACCAGATTAGCCAAGAAAGCAAAGCAAAGCAAAAGAAAAACGTTGAAAAACTGTGGATAAAAGTTCACAAAAGAGAAAAGTGAAGAAGTGTCACAAAATCACAGTGTATTAAGGATTAAGTAAGTCCCTGGAGAATGGAGGATTGATGTCCTAGCTCATTGCTTCCACAGCAGGACTGTCTTCTTATGAATACTTTAGTATGTTTATCTTTCAGATTCTCTGAGACACAATAGAGATGTCTTACCAAGAGCAACAGTGCAAGCAGCCCTGCCAACCACCTCCTGTGTTCATACCTAAGTGCCCACAGCCTTGTCCACCACCAAGCTGTCCACAGCCCTGCCCTCCACCAAGCTGCCCACAACCTTGTCCTCCGATGAGCTGTCCAGAACCCTGCCCTCCACCACAGTATCCTCAACCCTGCCAACCACCACAATGCCCTGAGCCCTGCCTTCCACCCAGGTGCCCAGAACCTTGCCTACCTCCTCAGTGCCCTGAACCATGTTCACCTCCAAGGTGCCCTGAGCCATGTCCACCTGGTCCCTACCCACCTGTGCAATGCCCTCCTCCAATATGCCAGCAGAAGTATCCACCCAAGAGCAAGTAACAGCACCAGAACTCGCCAGGCCCATGAAACAACAAGACTCTGTGGCTCTTCTTAGACTCAAAACTCCATCATTCTCCCTTCAGCTGTGGTGACAGATTACATCTTCTCTGAGCATATGCCAGGTTGAATATCTTCCATTTTGCAGCTGATAACATATTCTTGAAAAACGAATAGCAGGGTCATTGCCTGATAATTGCTTTGCTGTCTCTCTGTTTGTGATCTAGGGTGGTGGTCCATTTCCTGTGAGCAAGGGTGTCTGTTTTTTTGCTTCTTCAATAAAGTACATGTTTCATGGTTAAACCCACACATTGCTTTTTTTCATTGTATGTGTTTTCTGCTTCCATTTAATTATTAAATAAGGCGTTTCCATCACTGATTTCAGTTTCTTTCGAAATCTGTCTTTGAATTGTTAAATTAATAATTCTTTCATTGAATAATTTCATTAAATTATTTTCCCTTACCTACTTGATGACTTTGGAATAGCTACTTAATCTTTCTCAACTGGAGTCTTTGAAAAGTAGGAAAAAATATTCAGCTCATTGTGCTCATAGAAATGAATTAATATATTCTCTTGTGTTCCTAATTATTTATTATGTGTCAGTCTTCTCCATGCTGGGATATGGATACTAGAGACCAAAGTCCCTGTTCTTATAGAATATATATTCTTATTTTTTTTTTTGCAGGACTGGGATTCAAACTCATGGCCTACACCTTGAGTCACTCCATTCTACTTTGTGAAGGGTTTTTTTGAGATAGAGTCTCATGAACTATTTGCCTTGTCTGGCTTCAAACCATGATCCTCCTGATCTCTGCTACCTGAGTAGCTAGGATTACAGGCATGAGCCACCAGTACCCTGCTAGAATGTATAATCTAAAGGAAGTTACATACACATTGAATTCTGTGTCTGTTCTCTCTTTCTGTCTCTCTCTCTATCTCTGTCTCTCATACACACACTATAACTCACACAGAACAAATGATTGTGATTCATGTGTTATATTTTAGTGAAACGTGTAGAAATACTCTTTTAAAGTGACTTTTTATACAAAGGCATAAATGAATGTATGGAAGAATGAGCAAAGAGCACATGTGGGTGTCGATTGTTTCTAAGAAAGGGAATGGCAAGTTCACACAAGGTGTAAAATGGCAACAAAAACTGTGGTCAAAGGAAGACCTCTGAGAAGGTCTTTTTTTAATTAGCACTGGGCTGTTTTACATATGATATTATTTCACACAAGTCTTTAACAGATTTCTTAAAATAGCCACAGGATGACTATCACACCTAAAAATTAACGAATATCCCTTAATATAATTCAGAAAACCAAGATGTATATGAAACTTTTACCTTAAGTTCTAAAACTGAGCAAAAATTCACAGAACAAACTTTTAATAAAGCTCAAAATCTGACCTCATGAACAGGATTGCACTCAGAAAAAAAGTATCAGTCTAAGTTCTAAAAAAAAAGAAAGAAAATTTAAAACTTACTGATTTTTTCTGTAAAGAAATGGTAAAGCGGAATAATATTGCAACAAAATACCTTGAAATGCACTTTACCCTAATTGGTACTTATTTTGGAATAACAACTGTGCTTAACTTCTCTCTTGCCTTCTATTCCCTGTCCCTTATTTATCCTCTTTCAATTGCTCCTTTAAACTCTGCAGATTCACTCAGTGTTTGACACTTGTGATTCTGTTCCATCTTCTTACATTTCCAGTTGAATTATTTTTTCCCTAAGTGGTTTCTAGTGTGAACCTGTGTTTGGATTTCTATCAGTCTTAGTTTTCCTAATATCTATTACCCAGTTCAATAAGCCAAAAGAAATCTCCCTTGGTAGTGGACAGTTGGGTATTGGGTTGGGGAGGAAGGATAAAAAACAGAAGAAAAGACTAAAACTAACTTTTTCTCCTGTCACAGGGGTGATAAATTTTCTTCTTCCTAGAATTTGAAAGATTGAAGATCATATAAGACAGCAACATTTAGGAATCTCAAATCATTTATTTATCCAATAAATATTTATTCAGCACCCACTATAACCTATGTCTTGGATGATGTTTATTCATATGAAATGGTGAAGATGCAGTCCCTCTGGTCAAGGAGTTTTCAAGTTCAAGGGAGAAGCAGATGAGGGGAAAATCCACTAAGTGCAGCTGAGTATGAGAAGCAAAGCTCCTGAGACCGATCTGGAGCTTCTGTCCTAGTGGAATAGTTGAGAAGTGTATTTCACTGGAGCGATGGCTTTGCTGAGAACAGGGCAATCATCTGCCAGACAAAAACCAGTAAGTAGATGCTATATTATAGATGTAGTAAAGAAATCCACGGAGGAGACAAATAAAAGGTATGTGAGAAAAATCACAAGCATTTGATATTGCAGTAGCACACAACTTGAAGTATGGAGTAATAAGAAATGGGGCAGGAGGGGAAGGAAGGACTGTGTAAGGTCCTGGGACTTATCCTTGTGATTTAATTTATTTTAAACATGCGTATCATATAATCAGATTTTACCTTGAAATGGAGTACTCTGCAATGCGGAAGATGAGTCTGAATCAGATAAGACTTGGGAAGAGAGATATTTGAGGAAGTTATAATAACATTGAGCAAGAGAAGAGAAGGTCTTGTTCTAGGAGTATGTGATTAGCCTAGATGGGGTAAATGGATTCCAGAAGTATTTAGGCTATCAGACTGGAAATAGGAGCAAGTAGTTACGGAACAGAGTGAAGATAAGTCAGGTAACTGAGGAGGCTAAAATGGTTGATGGAAATGAAGAACAGTGTGTTGATATTTGGAGGATATATGCATTAGAGATGTCCAAAAGGCAAGAAGATGCTCAATTTAAATTATTTCTGGAATGCAAGCATAGATGTGCCAGTTAACAGCAAATTTGTGAATTATTACCGATTATGCATACACTGGCAAAATCCATGAGCCAGGGACCAGGGACTCCATTTGGCATTTAGAGGAAAAGGTTCAGACCAAGGGGAGGAAAGACTGGGCAATGGAGTAGGAGAATCATTAAATGAATGTAACGGAACCCAGTGAGTAGAGACAAAAGAAAGACAGAGTGATTGATACAGTAAATGTAAGAAGATAAAAATGGGAACACCAGTTCATTCTGCTGAATACTATTGTAGACATTCGAGTAATTTCGGTAAAATGGTGGGGCTGAAGACAGATTACTATGGATTGTGGTATAAATAGTATATAGAACAGAAGAGGCAGAAATTGCAGATGGCTCTTCCATGAGTTATGGCTAAGAAGAAATGGGAGCTGCTAGACTGTGGCCTCATGGGGTCCTACGTCAAGAGATGTATTTTATTTTAATTTTTGAACTTTTTTTTTGTAGTACTGGGGTTTGCACTCAGGGCCTTGTTCTTGCTAGGCAGGCACGCTACCATTTGAGCCAGTTGGAGATATGTTTTAGAGTGAAAGAATTAAAATTTCTTACAGGCTGATAGTGTCACGTCATAAAGCAGGTATGAGTTGAGTATGGAGAGAATTAGCTGAAGAGAGTAAGGCCCTGGCATATTGGGGGGAATTTGGGGCCAGTGGACACAGGAACCCTGTGTGAATGTGTTTGGGTTTGGGGATTAAAAACTTTATCTAACAGTGTCAAGATTGTTAGAATGAAAAGTGGCTGTTTCCTCTTCTAACTCCCCCTATTCCTCCTCCACTCTTCAATGGTAACTGAAGTAATTTCCTGTTTCTTATTTTATCAAATTTAAATAAAATATGTTTCCTTACATCTGTGAAAATTGAGTATTCGTTCACTCCTGTTCTCTTAATTTTCACAGTAATATTTTCAGTTTTTCTATTGTTTATCCTCATGGATTAAAGAACAGTAGTACATTTCTTCTATACTATTTATTCCCTTGGTTTCCCATCAAATGAGATGAGGATGAGGATATTAGTGCTTTCCCTCTTTCTTCCAGTCCCTGCCAGGGGCAAAAATATGTAACATCTACATTGTTAACATGAATAATATTTGCTTTCTGAACAGTATCTATAATGAAATCTAAAATAATTTGTACACACACTGATTTGAGATTTGAACACCAATGCATATGACTATAGTATTGATGCTTATAGCAGAGTTCTTAGTTCCTAGACCTTATAGCCAGCCTTCTTGAGTTTATTCCATGGTGCCCAGCTTAACAACTGTGTGACCTTGGGTAGGTTTCTTAACCTCTCTTTGCTTCAGTTTCCTCAAGTTTAAAGTAGGAGTGATGATAATATTATCTTGTAATTCTCTTTTGAGCATTAAATTCCTAACAACACACAGAGCATTTGGAGTCATGTGTGGCTCAGAGTAAGCACAATGATGATCATATATTATGGAGAAATAAGCATTGGTGCAACCATATAGTCTGTTAATGTTAGTATTTTTTAAATGATGAGTTTAATGTTTTGGACCCTCTCCTGCTTAAAGAAAAAATGCTTTCAGGATTAAAGTTGAGAGTTCATATTTAGCTATGTCTTGCTTATATTTGAGTTTTGCTTTGGCATCTCATATTGTTTCTTGTTTCTCTTTCTCCTCCTCCTTTTCTTCTTTCTTTTGGGACATTAAGTCATCAAGAGGTACGCTTGAGCTGGCTCATTCCAACTCATGAGAGATGACTTTTGATCAATTTACAATCAGGACCTCATTTAAAAACAGGTAGTGTCTGTAGCTTTTACATTGTTAATAGCAATGTATATGCAGGCAATCATTTACCAGCATACCACTGACTGCATTTTAAAATAAATGAGACTCTCATGCTCTATCTTGTATTAGAGTTTCTTCATGAAAGTATCCTGCCTGAGATCCTCCATAAATGTGTTACATTAGAACCTGGATGATCTACTGTGTTCCCAGTTGTGACTCTGTTCATTGTCTTAACTATTTTCAAGTATGTTGAATTTCAAATTTTTGCACTTGCCATCTTGGAATTTTGCTTTTATTTTGTTGTAGATAAACATCAAAAACAACATAAGAACTGCAAAAGAAAGGAATGATATATAAAGACTC